TGCTGGGGGACCATGTCTCTACGTCATGGCAGCTATGCCATGGGGTACCACAGGGCTCCATTCTATCCCCTCTGCTATTTAACATCTATATGAAACCGCTGGGAGAGGTCATCAGGAGGTGTGGGCTGCGGAATCATCAATACGCTGATGATACCCAGCTTTACCTCTCATTCTCCACTAATCCAGGTGAGGCAGTGGCTGTGCTGAACCGGTGCTTGGCCGAGGTAAGGGAATGGATGAGGGCCAATAAACTGAAACTCAACCCAGACAAGACGGAGGTCCTGTTGGTTGGCGGATCGGGTTTCGGAGAGGGTGGATTTGACCTGGTCCTGAATGGTGCAACACTCCCTCTTAGGGATAAGGTCCGCAGCTTAGGAGTACTCCTCGACCCGGAGCTTTCTTTGGAAGCTCAGGTGACAGCGGTAGCGAGGAACGCCTTCCTTCAGCTTCGGCTGATTAATCAGCTGCGCCCCTACCTGGAGTACGACTGCCTGGCGACGGTGACACACGCGCTGGTGACTTCCCGCCTAGACTTCTGTAACGTGCTTTACGTGGGGCTTCCCCTGAAGACGGTCCAAACACTTCAATTGGTGCAAAATAGAGCTGCCAGGTTGCTGACGGGGACGGGGCGTTATGCTCACATGACTCCAGTCCTCCATCAGCTTCACTGGCTTCCCATTGAAGCCCGGGCCCAATTCAAGGTGTTGATTATGACCTACAAAGCCCTAAACGGCTTGGGTCCTGGCTACCTGAACGAGCCCTTACGTCCGTATATGCCCGACCGCCCTTTGAGATCTGCGGGAGAGTCCCTTCTCCGGGAACCCTCCATGAAAGAAATTAGGAGAGTAAGTACCCGGAGGAGGGCTTTCTCTGCGGTGGCGCCCAACCTATGGAATTCACTCCCCAAAGAGGTCCGCCTGGCACCGTCGTTACTGGTTTTTCGGTGCCAGGTAAAGACCTTTTTATTTAAACATCATTTCAATTGTTAAAACATATGATCTGGCCTGGGCAACTTCTTCTTCCTTCTCTTTCTCCTCCTATATTTTTATTTTATACTGATAATTTTAATTTTGTATTTGTAAATCAATGTATTTTTTTGTATTTTTATATTTAATGGTAATTTATTATGTACTTTTGTATTTCAATGTATTTTATCATGTTGTAAGCCACCCCGAGGTTTCGGCAAGGGGCGGCATAGAAATGTTATAATAATAATAATAATAATAATAATAATAATAATAATCCTATAATCACTTGCATGGGAGTAGGTTTCACTGAACTCAGTGGAACTTACTTCTGAGTAGGTGCATAAGATTGTCCTGTCAACATTGCTTTGTCAGTTGACCTTGTGCTCCGCAACACTAATGAATTTACATGGAGAAGCAATTTGCTGGTCTTGCTTTTCCAATTAATTTCAGTGTAGAGAACAATTCTAGTCTTTCTTTTACACATACAGATTTCTTCCTTCTGCAGGATGAATAGGAACCCTCAGCATGCAAGATCGCCAAAGGACATTCTCTTGGTGGTTCTACATGAACCTACGGCCTGAATAGAAGTCCCTTCAGGATGGTAGCACCATTCTATAGAATTTCCTGCCTCTGGAGGCCAGGCAGGCATCAATGCAGTGCTGTTTTGATGTTTGCTCAAGACAGATTTTCACTGCCCAGAGAGCTTTGCCTATTGGGCGATATAAAAATGAAAAGAAATTGAAAGGCAGCTTTTCTCAATGGTCAACCATGTTTCTAAAGTTATCTTGTTTTAAATAATCTGCTTTTAATGTATGTTTTAATTCTTTTATCTGATTTTGTTTTCTTCTGTTAACCATTTTGGAATCTGCTTAGTTATGGAGCGGTGTACAAATACTGTAAATAAATAGATATCTGTGAACATAACTAAGTGAACGTATTTCAAAGGATTGGCTCTTTGTAAGAATTGTGATTGATCCTTAAACATTTAATACACTTTTGGCTTCACTGGGTTGTTTTAAAATGTGGAAAAAACAAAAGCCACACATCCTTTCTTAACAATCATTGTTTTATTAATATATTTTACAAGATTGCAGTTGAAATAATTTTAAATACAAATCTTTTTATACAGAAAGTGTAATAAAGTTAAAATAGTTCCTTGTGTAATTCATAGCATTATTGCAATGCTTACAAAATTTTGCATAGAGTGTGCAAGGATCGATGTTACTTGATAAAAAAAGCTTTTTTTTCTCACACCATCACACACATACATAAATTAAAAATTAAAAATCAAACAAAACGCAAACAATGAAACATGTGGTTTAGAACTTGGGCTTTTTTCCTGTTTCTATGATGGCCTTGGTGTCAGAAAATGGGTGACAGTTGAAAAACTACAATGGCACATTGGATGAATTTTAATGCTCTTTTTGCAGTCAGACAGAATTCTGACGCTTTAACGTTTCATTGCTTATACCAGCAGATAATGTACTTTGCTCTCAGTGCTCTCTATACACGTTTTAGTGGTTCAACGTATGTAATTATCAAATGGATCAAGCACCAGTCTCCAGACACGGCAAGTTTCTGAAATAAACCATGCTCAAGAAAGTGACTCATTCAAACCAGAAGCAAACTTACCTGGAAGTAAGTGCCCCTGAACACAGTAGGGCTTGTACACTTTGGAATGTGAGCCCTAACGATCAATCTAAGCCAGAAACAATGGGCTTGCTCCAGAGTTAGTCATGCTTACAGTACAGCCATGAAAAAGGTTGATCATCGTTAAGGGGGGTTGATTTAAGGGGCTTCTCTAAGCATGATTAATCCTGTATCTAGCCTGTTTGATCCAGGCTGTTGCTCCAAGTTTCAAAAAGCTAAATTTAAAGCAGCACCCATGTGCCCAAAGGCAGTAAACCTCAGTGTTGCCAGATGCTAACAGATGTGGGGGATCCATAATATGGGAGGGCCTCTGTGCCTTGTCTCTAAATTTTCCAGAAAGCATGTGGCTGGCAGCTGCTGGAAACAGATTGCGAGACTAGATGGCTCTTTGATTTGATTCAGCAAGGCTCTTTGTCAACACGTGTGACTGAGGGCATTTCCAAATGCTAAAAGCATGCTTGAATTCCTGTGCGACACATATCTACGCTCTCCGTACAGAGTTATGAGCTGAGAGTCATTTCCTAAATCAATGGTTCATTCTAGCCAATATAGCGGGGGGACAAAAATCGTGGCCCTGGGACTGCAAGCAGCTCCCAAAGGCTGGTGCTCTCCTTGCCCAGAACAGACGACTGTCCAACGAGTGGTGCCTAAATGCTCTTGCCTCCTTCCTCAGACAGAAGCCATCCACTTTGGGGGAGACACGGGGATATTAGGATTTTTCATCAAGATGGGAATGGGCCTGGAGCCAGCATTCCTGGCGGGCTGATTGGCTGGCCTGCCCGAGAACTGAGGTTTTGGTTGGAGCATGACTTCAACCTGATCTAAGCCAGAGCCAGCCTCTGAGGCACTCTGGGGCAGGAGCTGGAGGGGAGGGAGGAACACAGGGATGGGTGTGCTTGTGTGTGCTGCTGTGAATGTATGCATGCATGCCTAGGCATGTGTGCATGCATACGTGCACCTTGTGCCACCCCAGCGTATCCAGTGTGACCCTCCATAACAGGAAGGCCGTGAAAGGTATGCCAGACGTCTTCAACTAGTTGTTTTAGAAAGTTCACGTCCATACGCATGTTAGGCATGATTCAAACTAGAGATAAGTGCTTTTTTGCCTATTGATGTCAGTGGGCGAAAGTTCGCTGAAAGCTGGTCTGGCTTCTGCTCATGCCACCTGCACAGTGAGCAGGCCAGAGAAGCCGGTGGTGCATCCCAACCATGAGCACGGTGTGCTGCTTTGGTACAGGCACATGAAGAAAGGCCTCCTGGGCTGGAGCCGTCATAACTTCTCAGTCTCAGTCCTCAACGGGAACACGGTTATGAAATATACACTTCTAGGAACTGAAATGGAGGAGACAGGAGATCAATGGATTCCTGACTTTCCTTTTCCCCTCAAGTAGCTGTTTTGGAGGCCTTCATTTTGACTGGAACGCAGACTAGTGAGGCAGCTGAGTAGCAGCAGAAATAGAGTTAGCAGTAAAAAAAAATAAACACTGAGGGAAATGAACAAAGTTCTTCTGTATCATCCTGGCCTGTATCCATACTCTGTTAACTTGCCATGGGTTAGGAGGATGGACAAGGCAATGCGGGGACCTTTCTCTTTTGCTCTTAGAGTATTTCCCATGGAGTGCGTGCACATGGGTTCAGGTCAGACCTTGGCCAGTGGCAGTCTAGATCTTATGCCTACCCCCTGCCCCAGTTACTGCCATCAAAAGGATTTGAACACCTACAGCATCTTGTCCTCCCCATGTGAAAAATGCTGCTTTTAGCCTCTGTATCCTATGCTGGAGCTACTGTTTAGAACCATGGGCCCACTAGGAGGGCTGCATTATATACCCCTTAACTGTGGAAGCATTTACTCACTCAGCTTTTCTTACCTTTGCAATGCGAACTAAATTCACACATGGTGATGCTCACCTTAATCTCTTGCTCCTGCACTCATTCTGATGCTTGCTAGGTGTAAGATGACTGCGGAGAACACTGCACACTGGCTATTAATACCATTTGGGCTGTTTGGGCTTATAATCAGGGATATCACTAATAAACTGCCAAAGTATATATTAGCTCTTGCAGCAAAAGAACAGTTACAATTAGCTAGAGCGCCTAAGTGCAAATTCAGAGAAGACTCCTGGATAAAGGCTTTCTCTCAAAGCAACAAACAATCAAAAATGCTAATTTCAATCCAAGAGCTTAACTAGTATATATAGAAAGAGGAAACATGTGATAATTAAACTGCAGGAAGGAGCAACTCAGCCGTGTCTTTTACTATGCACACTTGTGATCCACTCTATTATGACAAACAGAATCCCACACAATTATTTGTGAGATGCATTGTTGTTGCTTCTAAATTCATACCACTTGAGGTTGTTACACAGGCTCCTTCGGTGTGAGAAAAATCATGCACATGCTTTTAGGAGTAACATTGCTTTAGAAGCGGTAATGCATTTAGGCAGCAGAACCTTCAGCCTATACTATCTCCTATCAGTGAATATGGTTTTAGAATAAGGAAAGAAAAATCCCCAAGCATGAATATGGAATATGATTCTGTAACAATGCAAAGATGCAGCTGACACATGCTATGATGCAGACTTACTCTTATAAGATAAGTAGAAGCATTTCATCCTAAGGAAACTTTCTGAAAGGCCCCCAAGTACCTTTAGTAATAGAAAAGCACAACAAAGTGTGTGTGTGTTTGTGGGGGGGCATTCTAAGGAGGCACATTTTTATTTCAAGTATTTGATAGCAGCAGTGCTATGTAAGTGTAACCTTTTTGGTCCAAAACTTTCCTCCCATCACCCACAACCTCTGGCAGACAGATCATGTAGGAATAATGGCAAGGGAAATAAACTGCACAGAGGGGGCAATTCTGTGGCTCCTAGTCACTGTTTAGATGGCTGTAGGAGAGGGAAAAGCCCTCAGGGCTGGAACTGAGGCTCTGACTCAAAGCACCCTGGGAGCCAATGTGCTCCTTTCCGTTTTGGTCGCAGCCCTGAGGTCAAAGGCTGACTTTGGAGCTGACCTTTGGGAGGCATTCCTGGAGGCAGGGAGGGGAGGAGCAAGTCTTGGGGAGGGGGTGATGTAACCTAGGAGCCCCCCCCCCACACACACACCCTCCACATTAGGAAACACAAAACAGTTGGCCCGAATTGCTTCTCTCAGTCTTTGGCAGGGAAAGAGAAACAGAGGGCCATAATCTGAATGAATGTTACGGGCAGCCACACTGGGTGATGCTGGAGTTTGCTCCTTAGTGGACTTTTTCTTTGAAAACTAAAATTGATCACAAGACGAATAGCAACATGCCCTTCTCAAAGGGAGATTAACAGATAGCCCAGCTCTCACCTGAATATGCTGCGTGCTGCTATGCCGATCGTAGTAGCAAAGAAAATTTGAAGCAAAGAATGACAAGGGGCTTGATACAAGATGAAACAGCAAATGGCAATGCTGTTGAGCTTTCCTAGCATGGTACCATCTGTACTGGTCAGACCGATTTCCAAAGAATGTCGTATATCTGTTGCTTAGACAGGTTTGCATGGGAAATTTCAATGCGTCTGCCTACTCTTAATTTGGAGGTACTGGCCTCCAATGTTACCTATCTACAATTTCTTCTAAAAGAGAAAAATAAATAGATGTTGTGCGGTCTGGCTATTCCCTAAACTAGAAAGCTTCAGGAGATTCAAAAAGCTGTCATCCTATAACCACTTACTTGGGAGAAGGCCCACTGAATTTAATGGAATTAACTGTTGAGTAGACACACATAGGATTGCGTTGTAAATCTGTGGAAACCAATGAGGCTTCAAGTAAATTGTTTAAATGAAAGTTCCAAAGAACTTGATTTTTTTAAAAGAGGACTATGCCCTGTTAAACAGCAATATAACAATGATCCAAAGTGTCTTGTACACATAGAATTATTGCCATTTCTTAAGGTTAACTACTCATACACAGCATAAAAAGTAAATAAAGTACGCCCAAGCATACTTATTGAAACCACTACACATCAGTAGCCTTCCACAATCTCTTCAACTAAAAAGACTTCAGCGCAAACATACTGAGTTTTATCAGACTTGGCTGGCTGACATGTAAGCAACTTAACTTTTTAACCCACCCAGGGAGCCTTATGGCTAATGGGGCAGAATAAAAATCCAACAAAATAAATAAACAATTAAATAATAAAAGCGATTCCACACAACTGTCAATCAAGTTGGAAGGGTGATCAATTGAACATAATCATGCTAATGAACAAGTATCTTTACTTTTCCCATAGCAGATATATTTTCATAATCTATGACCCTTGCCAGGTTACTTGGAAGCTTGAGAATAATCTAGATTAAACATAAGCTTTGTGAGGTCTGTTGCAAAAGCAGTGAAAGTCCCATGATCACCTTTCATAATGCAGAAATGTCATTTGGTGGCACCTTTGCCTCTCAAGTACATATCCAATTAATCAAGCACACATCACTGACCTCTCCAATTCTTCCATTCCAGAATTTGCAATATCCATGGATGCACTTTGGCCTTTCCCACAAAATGTGATCGCAAGCAAAAGAAAAGCAGCCACGCAGCTTTTAAGTCAGGATATGCTAATATGTTTGATGGACCTAGAGCTGGAATGCAGCAGAATTAACAGCAGAAACCTATATTTGATTGCTTAAAAGTAAGTCCCACTGATTTCCATGTGGGTTTTGGGAGGCTAGAGCATACATGGTTGTAGCCTAAATCTGTCTCTTGGGGCTGCTTCTTGTGTTAGGCTGGCACAAGTTGAGCAGGAATGTAAAACAAACTTTCAGCTCAGTGCAACCGCAGTACATCTCCGCATTAGAGAGAAGATATACTGGCTTCAAGAGTCTTCTCCCTGTGACAGAATCACAAGAGTTCCACCTATCAAAAAAGAAGCTTTTGCTGACAATGTTGAATTTCTCCTTCTATCTCAGAAAATGTTTTAACAAGCCTTTTAGGTTTACATTCCCCCCCACCCAATTCTTCAAGTTATTTCCCACCTTGTATACACTTCAAAATACTGCTTGATACTATTCTTCATTAGGAAGACAAGTCACAGGTTTTTGCCACTTATTTTAACATCGTGACCGAAATCCCAGTGCAATTGATGCTAAGTATGGCCAATTAACACAGTGGCTTGACTTGCTCTCCCCATTGTGTGCCAACACCACAAAAGGGATGCTTTAGTGTGCGCACACACATCAATTTGCAGCATCCAAGAAGGGCAAGGATTAGCCCTGCGATGTTCAAGATTGTTGAACTTCAGACTTCAACCACCGCAGACACCTCTTAATCATAAAAGGGAAAGTTTCTAAGAGTCAGTGGAAATTATCACCATGGATGTCAAGCAGAGGAAAACCAGTAACTCACCCTGGACCACCATCTCTACAAGAAAATACACAAGCTTCTGAGCTCTAGGCCATGCCTGCTTTTGTACATGTAGATATCCTGTTGTGAGATGAACAGGTGCAATGAGTTTTGCCCGTTGCATCAGCAAATGACCAGTGGTATTGCAATAGAGGTTGTTGATGCTGGTGCAACATGATTTATATTCGAGCTTGGTTTGCACTGGACACTGCCCCTTAGCTGCAAAGGCCTTGCACAGCTCAGCAGCTTGCATAGCCTCATTAGAACCTGGCCAAATAAAAAGTCTCACTTGCTGTGTAAAGAAAAGCAGAGCACCCTTTTTGAAAGCAATTCGATTTACAGTGCAATACTTCACATGTCTACTCACAAACACCCCCTCCAAGTTCTGTGGGGCTTCCTCCCAAATAAGGGCATGCGAGCAAAACTGGCTTTCACAGAATTGTGCACATGACATAACCATGCGCAATGGAAGCCAACAAGCTGAAATTTCAGATCTGCTCAAGATTAATCTGTAGACTCATTAGTATCTCTGTATCATAACAGCCTGTTAAGAGTCTTACCCCAGTATAACCATTTCCTCAGTGGCAATTTCTCATTTGAGCAGTTGACCTAGTAAATGAAGTGCTGAATCAAACCAAGCCACAAGGCGATACAATCTGTTTTCAGAAAAAGTGCCAGTGCATAAGACACTACTAGGAGTAGCTTCCCTTCCTGGTGTAAAGCAATTCTCGCATGCTCTCAGAGCCCTTCAAAGGGAACTGGCACAGTGACTCAGTGCATCTGTCTAGCATAAATACTGCCTTAAGGTGTGCTGAATGTGGTATCAATCACTGTGTATTTAGGGTAGAAGCAGCTATAGTGCAAGAGAATGCAATATTACATGTCTTTGTGGTCTCTAACAGGGTTTCCATGGACAAGTTGGTGAGGATCAGGTCAAGAATCCTGATGCAGAAAATCCACTGCAGGCATTTAAGCTCATGACCTCTCTTACACTGATTTCAGAGAAAGCAAATTCAGCACCCACCTTTGCTTTTGCTTGGCAACCAGAGATAAAGATCCTGCCACCGAGGAAATACGACAGTGTGAACCAAAACTGAGGAACAGATGTTAGTGGATCTGAGTGAAGAATGTGTAGTACCAACAACTTATGCAATGAAAATAATCACAAAGCATTTCACCAAGATGGCTACAGAGCTCACCAAATCACATTTTCATCGCATGGGAAAACACACAGGGTTTTCAACAAGGGAATGCCAATATGGTTTTTAGTGACTGATCCCCAAGTGCTAATGTGCCATTTTTTTTATTTTATTTTTACTTGCAACAGGTCTTTGTATGAATATCTTTAGAGTTAGGATTTCTCTACATGAGCAGCTTAACCTGCTGCTTCAGGGAGCCTCCTTCTTCCATTTGGACTAGAGGAGGAAAAATGTGTCCTCTACTTTTTTTTTCCTTCCAGGGTTTATATTTTTCTGCCTTTTTATATATTCTATTAACCAACCACAAGGTGGCATTGCACTATAGCTGTAATATTGCAGAATTGCTACTTTACACAAGGCTTTTGTTCCAGTTTGTTGTGATTTGAAATTTAGTACCTTCCTCACTCTAAAAGAATCCCATGAAAATAGCTGGAAAACATAGGATAGGCCTCGGAGGATGATGACATTGTGGAAAGGCCCCACAAACTTCCATGAGCGAGGGATCATGAGTGCACTACAACTGCCTCATGTAAAGAAGCCCTTAGAAAAAGCCAATATTGCTTCAGAACAGCAAACACCTATTAGAAATAGCAGTTTTTGAAAGAATTCTCAAAACATGTATCTCAGTTGCTGTTATATAATACTTTTTAAAAATCCTCAACCAGGCACAAATATTTTCCTGCCTTTATACAGGAAGATATTTGTAACTTTTCCAACTCTTAGAAAGCAGTGTGTGCATATAGATGAAACTGGCAACATACTTGTGTTCTTCTCTGAAATAACAAGAATAACACTTACTTATAACAATAACTGAGATCTGTATGTTTTGTGAATGCATTTAGCAGTTTAGATCTGAAATTGCCCTGTTTATCCCAACACTTTAAACATGGTGCATAATGTTTGTGGTTAGGGACAGGTTGCTGTTGTAAAGGCCTTGCAGGACACAGTGAAAAACAAATTGCTTGTGATCCATTTTTCCAACACATGGGCCAACTTTTGTGCCTGTGACAGGTGTTCATTAAAACAAAAATAAATCCCACGAAAACACGATTGATTTGGCTAAAGTGCCTGCGGCAGGGGCAACATCAGCTTTACATGACAAAGAGATGTATGTCATCAGTAGACTGCAGATATGGAACTGTTTTGATAGACATGGCTTTTTGCCACATTAAGCTATTGCCACACCAAACTATTGCTATTAAGGAACATTGGGGAAACTACCTATAATGTAAAATTCTGAAGCCAACATAGGTTTACATACGACATAAACCATAATTTGAGGAATTTAGTTGCCTACAAGTTCCGTGCTTGACCTTTCCTAGGGAATACAGGGTTGGAGGAAGACAAGGAAAGGGAAACTGTTTTCTTTCAACGATGTGTAAGTTTTTTGTTTTCAAAACTTGGCATTTCCTACACACATTGTTTTAAAGGAAAGAGTTCCTGCAAAGGAAAATTTAAATAATTGCTTTTCTGATGTGAGAGGTGTCTACTTTTGGAATTGATGGTAGGTTGCAAATGTCTCCCAAGCTACAAGATAAACCTGGATGAGGAACTCGCAAGTTCACCATCCAAAGTATGTTTGATGGCTGTTGAGAAATGGCTTGATAGCATTCCTTCCCACTTTCTGTCTCTGCTCTATGTAATCAACCTTGAAGGCAGGACATGTATACAATCCTTACATTCTTAACTTTAAAGATCAGGATCAAATTAACATAAAAATCAGAAAGAAAAGCTCATCATAAACCAACAAGTAAACATTTAAACATGCCATTAGGTCATTGCAAAGAACGTCTTTCATTGTCTGCTTTCACTATCGATAAAGTGAATGGAGGAAGAGACAATCAAACATCTCTGTTACCTTGTGTTATGCAGGTTTGCTTTTGAGTGCTGAGGTCATTTGCCATCTCGGGCATCCTGACAAATATTCCTTCATGAAATGGCTTTCATATGAGATCACGGTTCAATGTGAAAGGAAAAAGAAAGAAAAACTACCACAGTACAGCAACGCCTCTGATGCTGGACCTCCAGGATGAACTGAGAAGTTCAACAGCGAGGCTGAAGCATGACTTTTGTCCCGATGCTCCTTGGGCTTTGTGGATTTCCAGCGAGTGTATTTCTGCAGCTTCCATTCACATCGCAAACATTGCAACCACCATTCTCTCCAAGCTTTAGACTCCAAATAAACCAACTGTTAATAATAAGAAAAATATGATGTGCTTCTCCTTGCTGAGTGCATTGACTTAAGGCATAGGCACAAGTCTCCCTCTTTGAACAGAGATGTTGTATAGTCCTGTGTCCCAATACAATTGTTATCCTGGGTGACCCCCTTGCATTTAAGTGTCAGCTCAATATAGCAATGGCACGAGCCATTTGATTAGCAAATGCTGTTTAAAAGTCCATACAGTGACACCAAGACTGCAACCTTAAACATACTTACTAGGGAGTAAGCCCCACTGAACACATTAGGACTTACTTCTGAGTAACCATGCACAGGGTAGCACTGTAGAAAGAATGTAAAGCGGCTCCTTTCACTGTCCACTAAAAGTGCACTTCACGGGTGTTTTCAAGCCTTCTTTACCATCAACCTGAAGCGCCTAAGTACAATATTTAGAAATGGCTTAATCCAAATGTCATTGAAATCAATAGGAGTGCCTTCCAAACTGACTTCAACAGTTCTGTTATCAAGTTCTTGGTGCTCTCGAGCCCACAAGAAATCCAAGAAAATGGCTTGAAAGAGTACAGAACTTCTGCTCTGCGGCTGCCGCAAGTCTATCAGCCTCCTTCGAATGAAGTGTAAGGATTCAGTGTAAGGCTGGGTTCCACACTATTTGTCTGTTCTCAGCCATTACAGAAGGACACCTGGAAGTCATTTATGGAACCAGCTTTGTAAGACTGGGTCCGTCTCATGATCCATCAGAGCTCTGTGGCTGCCACTGTTGCCATTCACAGATCATCCCTTTAGAGCAAGTCAGTAGAATGACCCCGTGGCCACCTTTATTCTAGTGTACAAATTTCTGCTCCCTGCACCCAAAAAAAATCTTGTTAGTCCTCAAGTGCTACAGGACCCCTTGCTGTTGTTTCTACTGCATCATGGCCATCCCTCGAATGCTTCTGTTGGGAAGGTTGTCTTGGATTCTTTTTAAAGGGCAATCATGTACTACTTTTCAAAGACCTAATTGTGCCATAATTGCAGGAAACCCCTGGAAAGGTCTGTTTCAAAATAAGCATCTCTTGATATTTGACACTGTGTTCTTTTTAGTTAGCTAACTTTCTAGATAGGGGATTTCCTTAATTTACAGATATGTCCAATCTTTCTCACTCAAATAGGCCTTTGGAGCAGTTATGGCACTCCGAAACATTTGCAGTCCCCTCCAAGCCAAGTTCCACCAGGCATATTCCTAATCAGGTCTTGGCATTCTTGCTTTAATTTAAAAAATCAGAAAATAAAGTCTGAAATGTTGATAGCAAAGGGTGAACTAGACACTAATTGGCTGCAAACTTCCTATGTTTTTGCATGTGCAGGAGGCATCTTGCATCAATGGACAAAAATTGCCCTTTGCTGCACATCTCTGTGATTTTTGGGGTCAAACGTGCATTCCACCCCACACTATTATACAGCTGAAGCTCATTCTCTGGTCATCTGCACTGCAGACAGTAATGATGCTCAGAGAAAAGCGTGTTTGACAGAGTTGGCATGGCAGGATAAACATTCTCAGTGCAAGGTTCTCTCTTGCTGAGTCATCTTTTTTCCTTCCATCAGGACAATCTTTCCCCTGAAGATACATCGATGAGGTGTCTCATTCATCCTTCCTAATCTGAGTGGATTATATAATAGACAATGAAAAACCTCAAGTTGAAAGTCAGCTAAGTGTGTCAGAATAGGCTCTTTCTCATGCTTGTGCACAGGTTTTTCACCTGGCCCCAGCTGCTATATTTAAATTTCAGTTCTGAAATGTAATCCTAATTCTACTCTTCCATGAAAGTGACCCACCCTTCACCCCCCTTTACCCGCCAATCTACACAGGCCCTCATGGCTGTCCAATTAACCCAACCCTCCATACACTGAATGTCTCTTGGGAAAGGGGGCTCCTCCAGGCGATCGGGGCTCCCAAATATGTAGAGGAGCCTCTATGAGCATGGTCAACAGACCATTGCTCAATGCCTTGTGGTCCAAAGCAGAGTCAGGAGAGGGAGAGAGAAGTAGGATGCTAGGCAGGGGCTGGTGGCACGGGGGTGTCTCTTCATGGCCCTGAGCCTCCGTTCTCCAATGATGCTCCCATTTCACTGACAATGTCAGCTGTCAGCATCAGACCCAGGGTCAGAGACAGCAATGTGCGATGCTCCTCTTGATAAACGTGCCTCCAAGTGAAAATGATAGCATGTGATTTAACCAGAAGTGCCTTGGAACACTCTAAGCAGGTTTCCTCATCTTACTTTTTGGATTTTCATGGCGCAGTAAGAATCAGAGATGCTGTTAACCAGGCAGTTATGATCTGCCTTGATGAACCAGTAAGTAACAGGGGAATCTCATCTATATGTGTCATAACCATACTTTTCAAAGGGCAAGGAGGGGAAGGCTTTGATGAAACAACTGTGCTGACCCCGACCATCTGAATATTGCTAAAGTGGACTAAGAGATGAACTGCCAATGCAAGCTCACCTCTTCCTGATTCATCCCAGATATTGGAACTGATCTATTTATGTTCCCTTCCTTTCTTTTAATTTCTCTGCTTTCAGATCTCGGCTGAGAAGGATTGCTACAAGTTAAGCTGCCCTTTTTGGCCTTTATCTTTGGGTTGCTTCACACAGCATTATCCCTACACAGATGTAGATGGATGCAGCAGAATCAATTCTATGGGGACCTGCATTCCAACAAACATGAAGGTGGCGTGCCTGTTGGGAGCTGACGACATCTTATCCTGTGACACGGTTCCTCCTCACAGCCACGTAGGCACAATGTCGCAGGTGAGGTGGCCGTAGCTAAACCTGGAGAGGCTTGAAAGCATCTTCCTGACTGATGGAGAATGGCTGCTACACAGGTTGGTCACTCCTGGAAGGACCTGGATCCAATTTGCACATCGTTTACCAATTTTGATGAGGGAGTGATGAATGCTACACAAAGAGGGTCACCCTGGGATTCTTGTACTGAAACCTCATTTTACACAAAGGATATATATATATATTTATATCTATATATATCTATATATTTATATATTCACACACACGCGCGCGCACACACACAAAAAAAGTCTTTGATAGGCTTTCTGTGTTCTAGTAAAAACAGTTGGCAGCTGCTCTCAGGGAGGCCGGAAAAGGCCGCTGTGCTGCCGTCCGTGCCTGCCGCAAGGAGTCTCTCTCAAAGGCAGACGCTTGTGTTTATCTGGCAGGTGGAAGTAGATCCCGCCTGGGAAAGGAATAGCCTCCCGTTGGGACATACACACAGCTCATAGGTTTTTTGCCTGGATCCAGAAGAGGAGGATCCTTGAGGCAGTCTAGGTAGTTTGATATTTGCGGCCTCCAACGTAATCTGAAGAGAGAAAGAGGGAGAAAAGATTTGTTGTTTCTTAGATTTAAAACTGTCAGTGGAAACTGAAATGTATTCCATAATACCTATATGCTTGAATGAAGAAGAGTGGGCCTTTGGCTAATGGTTGCAAAGAAAACATCAGTTAGAGTTTATCGTGACACTTCTGTATTATATTCAAAACTAGCCTGTTACCTGATACTGGAGCTACACACAAATCTGGCATTCTCCAATGTGTACGTTGTGTATAAATGCACAACGTGCACACAGAATGGGCATTTCCTTTTCTGTATTGTCTTGCCAATGTGTGAAGTGCCCCACCAAATCTCTCCCATAGTGGATGCCATAAAGGAAAGTAGAAGGTTTGCACCTGCTATATAGTAGTATACTGCATTTATGTTAGCATTTAAGCCACTAGTGCTGTGCAGAAATTACCTGAGGCAGAGGAGTGGGGAGAGGATGTGGGTATATCCTGCCTCTTCTATCCTTGTCTGCTCAATCCCAGACCTTCCCATCCTGAGGGAGAAGCTCTGAGGGGAGCTTCGACTTGCCCTTGCTTTAAAACAAGCAGAACCTCCATCAGACCTCCATGCTCAACATGGATGGGCTGAAAACTGTGGGTATGTGCATAGAGGTTGATGAGCATAGCCTTCCTCTTCTAACACGTGGAGGGCAGGGGCAGGGCTTGTGTGAAGAAGGGAAGGATGAACCTATCAGTTGCAGTTTCCCATTTTCTGATCCTAAATGTCCCTTTCTGCCTATTATGTTCAAGTCTGCATGAAAAAAGTATCTGCCTTTTTGTGCACAGTTTGTCTAATTTATGAATTGTTGCAGGCAATGTTAGCTTAATATACATGTTTTTTGCAAGCAATTTCCCCTAATACAATCACTTTCTTATGCTATTTTCACAAATCAATGTAGATTTAGTGTGGTTCCCCCGCTAATATACACATTTCTGGTTTTGATTGGCAAGCTGTACTGCAGAATGCAGAGAAGGGCAGATACTGAAGGATAACTGTTTTGAGTCAGGTATTGGCTAAGGATGTGCAAATTAGATAGGTTTGCATTACAATGCAACCAAATAAATGTCTCTCTCCATCCCTAGAAGGAAGGGGGCTTGCCTATCAGTCTAATGAATGCACAGGTTGCACAAATAAGATAAGGTGGAGAAAGCCAGGCATGCTGCTTGCAGCTTCCTTGGAAGGAAGGTAGAATGAAAATGGGAAAACACATACAGTGGTAGTAATAATTAATGATAGTAGTGATAAATAAATTACAGCTTCCCACTTTTTCTGTCTTTTTATCTGCTTTCCTTGGCATATGTGTTTTACAAGTTGCTTTGAGGGGCCCTTATGGAAGAGAGGCAAGCGATAAATGATTGAAAGACATGTATTACATGTCCCAGATGCAACCTATCCAGTGCTGGATAAAATGCAGTATCACGAGATCATTTATTTATTTAAAACATTTCTATGCCGCCCCCATCGCAACAAAGCCTCGGGGCGGCTCACAACAAGATCATGCGTGGCAAATGCTTAACGCAAGGTTAAGAGAAGGTCTGGAGACATTGTCTGAAGGCACCGGTTACTGTGCAACAGGAATTAAAAACCGCAAGGCCTCTGCAGAAGGCAATGCGCATCGCTCGCTGAACTTTATGCTTACCACTCCATCTTTGGACTCCAGCTTGAGCTCTGTCCTGCATGTGGCTTCCAGGTTGCCAGCCTCAGCATTGATTTCGACTCCCTTGGGAGCCTCCATCACCAAAGAGCGTGTGGGTGATTCAAGTCTGTAAGATCAAGGGGGATTCAGGTCACTTGCTGGCCTGTGTGTGCACACCTGTGTGTGATACAGAGTCACAATGGCATCCTTGAGTTTAATATGCACCGTAGGGCTCAGTGCCAAGGCCACTAAAATGCATGGAAAAAAAGACTGGCATTGTGACATGGCAGCATTTTGGAGCAATTCTGGTGGTCACATGTCTGTAACTTTCAGTCTCAAGGCCCCATCTGAGGCTTTGGATTACCATTTCAGCATCCTTGACTATTGAGCATGCTGGCTGGGACTGACAGGAAGTGAAGTCCAAAATATTTGAGAGGTACCAGGTTGCAGAAGGCTGCTGCAGAGTACATGGTGGTCATTGTGGTTCAGCTTAGGTTTGTATTAGGCTACATCTCCATGCTATATATGATGTTAGCATTTTATAAGAAGGCAATTACTGTGATTGCTGCTTGGCAGTCAGATTGGGGCCTCCAGCACGTGCTAAAGACAGCTGAGTTTTGTGAAAAGGCACCTTTCAGACGAGGCACCTTAAAGATGAACAGCAAGCAACCTACTTGCCAGTTGGAGAATAAGACAGGCAGTCCAACTGCACTTGCTATGCAAGCATTAAAACTCAGGCCAAATGCTAAGAGCCTTAGAAGATACAAGGTGGAGGAATCTTCAGAATATACATACCACTGGTTTCTCACATGCACAAAAACATCTCAGGTTGGAACCAGACTCTGCCTTCTGTAGACATAAGCTGTCTCTGCCCAGTTTCCAGGGATGGCCCACTTCTACCCTATTCAGCAGGTCTCCCACCCCACAGTGTGGCAGGGGCTTGGAAGGGCTGCAGGAGTTGCAATGGGGAAACAGGAGAGGGGAACTTCGCTTCAGTCTGCACCTGCCTAAGTCTGGATCCATCTCCTGGAATACAATACAGCCTGAAACGGTTATACAACCTTAAGTCACAGTCAGGTATCTCACAGCAGGCCTCTTAACCTGCTGCTGCTATCACAGCTCCCTTGGGTACGGGGGTGCTCTCCTGGCTATTATGGGAGCCATTAACAGGCTTGTTTACCACATGCTATTCTGAGTAGCAAGTAGGAACGGCAGTGAAACAGATTGAATGAAATTGTCTTGACAAATGACAGAAAGAAATGGCATTACTAGCTTCCCTCCAGAGATGCAAAAGCTAAACAGTGGGTGGGCATACACAATGTGAAAAGCCATGGTGCAATCTTACAGTTGTGAGTCTGTTGTGTTGTCCAGACCCACTTCTGGCCTGGGTTCCTGTATGGTAGGACTGGTGTTTGGAAACCATGGAGAGAGTCAATGGTCTGTTCTAAGGTTTCCACGCTTCATTACAGCTCTTCTGGTTGTCCAGACTCATGATTGCCATTGTTGGTATGGAAACACCACACAGTCCACAGAAACTCTAAGGGCCCCCTCAGCCTAGCAACAGCTATGACACTGCTCACTTAATCCATGGGCCAAACAATGTGTCTATGTCCCTGTTTACCTTTGGAAACAAGAAAACAGTATGAAAATACATGCAGATGGGATGTGTGGTAAGGCCGGGGGGATGAACCGAGGAGCGTGGAAAGCTTTTGTTGAATAAGACATACCTTAAGGTCCGCTGGAACTTCAGGTATAGGCACTGAAGCAGCAATCTATTCCTTAGGCTAACTAGGATATTCAAATAGCTGCTCATAATGAGGAGCTTTAAAATTGTAGTACTGGTCTTAGTTCCACTGCCATTAGAGTTATATTAACAATCATTATTTTATGATACCCCACATTTTTTGCTGCCCAAATCCACTTACAATTATATTTCAAGAAGTGCAAAATAAATGGTGAGAAAACAGTTCATGATCATAGGATGTCTCAGATTCCCTCACCCCAGGTCAGAGACAGCGCTCTGAGAACCACAGTGGCTGCCTCTCTGAGGTTAGAAAATTGGTCTCAGAGAAGGAGTAAAGGGGATGTTCCAGTGGGCAGGCTGAAAAGTCCTAAATTATAAATAAAAGACCATGATCAGAGAATGGGAGGCAAAGTTTGAATGATCAGACAATGAATGAACAGAGAATGAAAGATCAGAGAATGAATGATCAGAGAATGGGAGGCAAAGTTTGCCTTGGCTGCTCCTCCCACCCTGCTGGCTTAAACCTGGCAGGGCTCACAACTCTCAGAAGCTGCTGAGCTCAGGCTTCCAAGCAGCGTGGAACTAAAACAGTATCTCCTAAAAAGCACCTGATTATAGTATTTGGGTATTCTGTAAAGGCAAGAGGCATGAGCAAGCTCCACACTGAGGACCTTACAACAGATGTCAAGTAACCTGAGGAACTATGATGAGATAGCACTGTGAAGGGATAGAAGGATAAATGGAAACATGCAGAAAGCTGTGCGATCACCGTCTTGAGGTCTTCAGACAAGCGTAGCAGTGTCTTCTCCAACCTTTTCAGATACTAAACCAGAAACAAAGGACATCTCTGAATGCAAAGACCAAATTCAGTTTTGGGGAATCTCTTTTGGGCTGCATTCCAATGGTGAGCAGGCCGAAGGAGAAGAGGACAAGGCTAAGGACCTGGGGCCCAGACAAGAGCTTGAAGCTATTGCTGTAGCGTGAAGGTCTCATTGTCAGCAACTAAGCCCTGGAAGAAGCATTTCATTTTAAAATGGGTACAGGCAAGGATCAAACACCAAATGACCGGGGGTTGGGGAAGGGAGATAGGGCCAGGAGAAGAGAAGGGGCAGCCCTGAAATCCTGAATTGCCAAAATTTGGCCCCTGGACCTGAGGCTCCTCACCTATGCCCTAAAGTAATCTTTAGTTCCCAGCTGTAGCAAGGAGCTTTTGCGTGCCATATAACTATCTTTCCTCTATTTACAGTCTTCCTTTCTCACCCTTCTTTTCCCTACATTTTGAGCCTCTCTTTTTCTCCTCCTTTTCTTAAAGTAAAGGTAACCTCCCCACACCCCCGCAAAAAAGTGCATGGGGAGAAACTGCAGTGCAGCTAGAGGTGTGCTCCAACTTGGATTGCTGCAGAAGCCACACTGGGACCTATTCTTCAAGTGAAGGTCAGTGGGCTAAGTCGGGCATGGGCAACGTTGTTTTCTCAAGATGTTTTGGACCACTGCTCTTAACGCCCCTGACCACTGGCCGTGCTGGCTGCTGTTTATGGGAGTGGCATTCCAAAACAGTGGAAAGGCAACAGGTTGCTGCTTGCCTTTCTTCTTCTTCGCCTTCCACTGCACAGTGCTAAATGTACCGCTTAACTTCCCTGTATCATCTTTCAAATCCATGTCTAGGACATCCCAGCCTTAAATCAGAGCAGACGGTGGCAACCATCTGCCTCCCACTGAAGTACTTTTTCATTTTCACCGAAGCTCTGTGGAAGCATGCATCAACAAAAGAGCAAAACTTTATTTTCTCCAGTTTGTTTGAAAACTCCCAGAATAATTTACTGAAGGTCAGCATATCAGTTTGTTCTGTAGTTGCAGAAGGTATCTTTCTCTTGGAGCAGTCATTCCTTGGCCAGATTTCTAGTTTTCATTTCCTGCATCATACACAGCCTCATTAATCACTCCAGAATGAGGACAGCAGCTGAGATCATATTTTCTGCATTACTTCTACCTCCAATGGCACAGACGGCTGTGCTTTCTTTGCCTTCCTGGGTACAGCTAAAATGAACACTCAGAAATCATCAGCATTCACCAACCTCTGAACTTGGTCAAGTTTCTTTTTGAAGGAGAAATGTTAAGCCACACTGTGAATCTGAGTTGTGAGTGTGAATTTCAACTTAAAAATCAAGGGGTATGTGTTCAGTGCTGAAAAGATCTGGGGCTTAGGTCTAGCAAAAAATAATAAAAATAAAAATAGTATAGCATATGCTAATTTATATATGCCCCCAAATCTCTGTGTTTGTGTCATTAAAGGACATAGTCTCCTAAGGATACCCCTATTTATAAAACATACATATTTTATAATATGTATTAATATCTATTTATAATATATATGCATGGACAAAGGAATGGAGGGTCTTTGCAGGAAAAAGAACCAGGCAGACAGGTGCATGGGGGGGGGGGGCAGGGTGCAAGAGGAGGGAAAGCATATTTGGGAAAAGTCAGCTAAGACAGGGAGTTGAGGTACAAACAGGCCTGCACCTTTCTTTCAGCACTGAAAGAACAGGCACAGGCCAGCAAGGTGGTGGGGCAGAGGGTTCTGGGGCTCCAGCCCAGCTAGGCCACAATCTAATAGTTGGTACTTCTTGGTGTTTGCCCGCCTGCCCGTTTGTTCATGTATTTATTTAGCAGTCTTCAAAAATGAAACCATAACCTGTACTGTGAGCAGGTCTCTTTATTCTCCCTTTCCAGCAGACTCTGATGAGACTTTAGAAGCAGAGTCCTTTCATTGGAGCTCAACTGGTTACAAAACAGCTTAAGCTGGGAACCAGTGCAGTGTAGTTGTCACAGTGCTGGACTGGGGATTTGGGAGATCTGCGTCCTAGTCCCCACCACGCCACAAAGCTCACTGGGTGATTTTGGGTCAGTCACTGACTCTTAGCCTAAACTACCTCACAGGGTTGTTGTTGTGAGGATAGGAGTAAGAGGAGAGGCAGAAGGATTATGTAAGCTGCCTTGAGTTCCATGTAGGAAAAGGGCAGAATATAAAGATAATGGATGGATGCATGCATAAATAAATGTTGCACTCTCTTTGAGATGAAGGAGAAGCCTCTGCCCATGTGAAGAATTGAAGCCAAACTGAAACATCTCCTCCTTCCCTCCCATTCATAAAAGTTTTGGATTCCACTCTCAGGATGGCTCCTGCTGCTTGTGGGCTAGACAGTGGGAATGTCAGACACTCCTTAACTGTTCTGCTTGCTTTGCCTGTCCTCTCCTTACAAGGTCAAAAAAACTCCTCTCAGCCTCCTTCCCACCCAGTTCTAAAAAACGGTTAATCCAGATTTGATTGCATGTTACCCATCAAATGCTATAAAAGGCCATTACTTTATTTACCAAATCCCATG